GTTATAGTTCGAAAAAAGAGAATGACTAAAATTTTATATATCTGTTATTTGTTATTTGTTATTTATTTATTTATTTATTCATCAGTTTACCTTTAAAATAGCTCTTATAAAGGCTATATGATGTACAAAATCCGTTCGTGCAACCTCTTCGTGGTGTACATTGGGTAACGCTAATGCCGACGGTTCCACATTTGTTTTCTGAGCATACGATATAAGGTTATGGGTTTACGAGGTTATAGGGTTATTGGAATTTGAAGTCAAGGGATTAACGGATTAAGAGGTTTAGAGTTATGGAGTTGAGGGGTTATAGAGTTAATTGGTTTAATATATTTGGTATAACTGGCTAATTGAGCTTGAATTATAGGTTTTTTGAGGTTATGTCCAAAACCTGATGTGATAGGGTTAAATGGACTTCGGATTCGGATTCAGCGACCCCAAAAACATATAGTAAACATGGTCTGACCCCCAGACCAAAACTTTTTTTTTGTGTGGCTGTGATATTGAAGATGTTCAATACTTCACAAATGTTTTATAAAGATTATACACACATCATGTTAAAAAACATATGTCAGTAGATATTTATTATTTCTTTTTCTTATTATTGGGTTACGAAGATACATTGTTTCTTACTTTGTTTTGATTGCTATATAATATTATATTTGTTGTTTGAGAATAATTGAAAAAAATGATGTAGAAACGCAAATCAAAACAAAAAAACTTTTATTTGCCATGAATTGTTTATTTTTCAGCAAATTCACTTGTTATAATGAAATTCGAGAAAATGGTGAAAAGTTGGAGTTTAGTGCTGTGGAACAGTGTACAAATTTTGTCAAGGAATAAATTATTCAAAGTAGAATATAGAATCTCATAAAGAAATGAAACCAAACGACAAAGACAAACATCACGCGCGGCAGACACGTGACGATACAAAATAATTCAACTCATCATATTTCTTTAAAGTTTTATTTGCAATTATTTCTTGAGAACATTTTGGGAACACGTTTTATAAGTTTGCTATACGTATAAAATATTTAATGTCAACATATAATTTTTTTGATAATATTTTTTTGCAGAACACGTTTTCAGTACTCACAATCTTTATGATAGATATTGGCTCGCGTTTCACGCACTTCCATATTTCATGATTATACGTGTCTCAATATATCGAAATTGTGTGTAGGTAATCCGTTCTGATGAGTGAACACCAAAAAAACAGAAACTACGAACAGAATCGAAAATCTTTATAAAACAAATAACAAATATATGTATACATGTATGTATATTCTATTTTTTAACTTTTTACGGAATAAATAAAAAAAAGAAAAGAACAAATTTTGACAAGTAAAATTACTACTTTCAAATATAAACAAGTATATACAGGGTGTCCCAGAATTGGTTTAACATCTCTCGTAGTCAGGTAGAAGGAATAAAACTGAGGTGAAAAGTTCTATACCATTTTGCTAGATTCGCAATAGTTACCGAGATTTTAATTAACAAAGATCCGCGAATAAGCGTGCATCAGGCT